TCACTCAACACAACCTGTAATTATGTAATGGTTTATTTCTTCATTGTCTATCTCCCCACTGGAAGAGGACTGAGACCCTGTTTACACTGACATTCTCCAGCACCAAGCACAGTGCCTGGCATATAGTAGATGTAAGATTAAAATTTGTTGAAATGCGTGAATACATGAATTCATTATTCTACAGGATGAAAGGAGGAAAGTGCCACAGGAGAAAATGAGCGAGCTCCATGGGGGCTTGAGGGAGAGCAAATTGGGCTGGAGAGACCAAGGCAGGGGTGGCCTTTTAGGTGGGCCTTGAAGGACAGGGAGGATTTGGATGCAGAGAGAGGTGGGGAAGCCCCCAGGTAGAAGCAGAGGCCTGGAGGTGGAGATGTGTTGGTGTGCTTGCGGAAAAGGAGGTGGCAGGGTGTCCTTGAGGGGAAGGGCACCTGATAGCAGAGTTTAGGATCACAGTAGAACTGGGTGCCAATCTTGGCTCCATCCCTTCATAGGCAAGTAACTTAACCCCACTCAGACTAGTTCCTCTCTTGTCAAAAAGGCATAGTAATTCCTCTCCCTTGTCACACAGTGGGGAGAACCATCTCGCGAGATGGCGCATGTGGAGTGGTCAACAGAGCATCTGGCACATAGTGGGCACTCAGTCAGCAATAACCATGGCTGTCACATTGCTAACATGAATGGGATCTTGCAGATAAGAGTGGAGTCAGGGTTGTTGAGGACTTTAGACCCCAGAGGAAGGAAGCCTGAGCTTACTTTGTGATGAGTACAGAGTCGTGGGCATCATCTGGACTTGTGAAAGGCAGGAAATGCTCTTGAGTTTTTACAGTCCTTCCTGGGACACAAGCAGGGGCCCCAATTCATAGTCTTTAGGCCAGCATATGTGCTTTGTTTGGCTCCTACAATATTTAAAAACTTTTCTCAATTAGTTGCCAGCATTTACAAGTAGGAGGATGTGTCATAAAAATCTGAATCCTAGACTTCTTCCAAACAATTGAAAGGGACACTAGGCTTGCTTGTCAGCATGGTAACCATTGACTGGCACTGAGGAAGGCCACCCCTCTCAGCCAGACACGGGATACTCATTTTGCCCCATTCCACACCCTCCCTCTGGTCCTACATCCTACCCACTGGCCTACTTATGTTCCTTGTGAGGCATCTGAGTTCATGACTCCTGACACACACAGTTATCAGGACAGGAAGGGGCCTTGGAAATCATGGCATCTGACCTGTACTGGCTGCTGGGTTCGTGCTCTGTGCTTTTTATGTACGCCCTCTCATTAGGCTTCACAGCAGGAACTTCACAAACACTCATTTGAAGGAAGATCAGGGAGGGCTGATTCCTTTCTTAATGCTGGTGCTTGACACGCAAGATGAGGTCACCTTGCACTGCCTTCTATTTCACAGACGTAAGAAAGAGGGAAAGGAAGTTACTGGAAAGAGCTGGATTTGTCCAAAGTGGAAATTCAGCCCTGGCGCCCATCGTGTCCACCATAGCCATTGTGTTGACATTCTCCTGCCACATCCTCCTGAGACGCAGGCTCACGGCCCCCGTGGTAAGAACCATCTCCGGATCTGGCCTCTTTTGCATCCCACCACAGCCAGTCCCAGGTGGGAAGCTCCTCCCTACCACTTCCCAGCATGGCATCAGAACACCCAGTCACAGTGGGCCAGACTCTGCCAGAATTCAACTCAACTTTAAAAGCAAGTGCTTGGGCTGACCGGGAGCCCAGGACTGCCTGACAGCAATTCTTACTGGTTCATAGCGGGGCAGGGGTTGTAGTTAACTCTGGAACATGATTTTACATTTGGAAAGCAAGAGTCAAACAAAGCAAGCCCTTGGCTGTAGGAAGAAGGGGAGCCCTGGTGGTGCAGTCATTAAGTGCTTGACTGCTCATCAAAGGGTTGGCAGTCTGAATCCACCAACTGCTCCTTGGAGCAATGAGATGGATTGACGCAGTGGTTTCAACGATGGGCTCAAGCATAACAATGATTTTGAGGATGATGCAGGATCGGGCAGTGTTTCCTTCTGTTGTACACGGGGTCGCTATGAGTCAGAACTGACTCGATGGCACCTAACAACTTCATAAGTAAGTAAGCATAAAGTTGATTGAAAATAGTTGCTGAGGATTATTGTTGGTGTTGTAATTACTGGATTATATAATTATAAAAGCAGAAGACTGTATTGTGTAATATATTTCAATAAGGTTTGAAATAAAATGGGGTGAGAGAGGAGCTTTCTCCTAGAGAAAGTTAGAAAAAAAAAAAAAAAAACCTGTCAATAACCTAGAATTAAGGAGTCAAATATTTAATGCATGCCTAACATGTGCTTCCCTCCCAGCATGCTAGTTATCTAGGTTTTAACCATATTTGAAATCAGTCCACCCTGTGCTTAATCTTCAAAAGTTATTGCCAGGCACATGTGACCTTGACTATAACATGTATAATTCAGAGCCCAGGTATTTTAGTGACAAATAAGTTCTGTGCAGTACTTTAATTTTTAACATTAAATATTTAGTTTTAATAAGTATTTGGCTTGGAGACATTGAAAGTTATAAGGGAAAGCTCTAGAAATACTCTGTGGAAAATTTTTAGAGAAGATTAGCTAATACGTCCTGGAATGATTTCAGTAAATCCCAGACAAAAGCTCACTGAAATTAATGTTACAGTATTTTATTAAATCATTTAAACTTATGCTACTCTAAAACTCCGCCACCCAACAGACTCATCACTTCTTAGAGCAGAGAGGAACCAATGAAAAAAATGTTGTGTAGGAGCCCTCAGAACTGAGGCACTTCATCCTAGCAAAATGACTAGTTGGAGTCTGAGTCCAGATTCCATCTTGATGCTTGCTAACTTGTCTAATATTCAGTGACCTTTGTACATACTTAAAAGCCTGTAACCAAGAAAAAGTTTCTCTTTGTGGTTAAGCCAAGGATAAGGTAAAAATGTTCCTGTGAGGATCCTGACACCATTAACCTTATCAGACATGTCCAGAGTTGACTGCCCACAAGAAATATATTGTTCCCCTAGCTATTTTTTAAACCAAATGTTCTTGGGAAGGAATATTTTGTAATCATCTTATGGCCACCTACACACCCCCATACTAACCATTTCTGCAATTATCCTGTGTAACCAATTCCAATAACCCACGTATGTACTCCAAACCAATTCCCTTAAGTTCCCTGCTTCAAGATAGCCCGCCTCTGACTGCCTTATCTCACTGAGCACCAATCATAGATTTTACACTGTTAGTCCCTGATCCTACCATATAAATGTACCCTTACTCCTCCCCTTCTCAGGAGCTTTTGGTTTCACTCTGTGAGATCAGACTTTACCCTGTTCGGACTGTTTTCAAATCATCAATAAACCTCCCTGCTTTCACTTTAGCAGAGTACATGTTCATTACTCTTTGACAGGGTTTTAAAGAAAAAATAAAAGCAACTCACTTGTACTGCTGTATATTTGTAAAATTGTTCCGAAAGTTTCTCTAGATCCTCTCTAGTTTTCCAGGTGTCGGGAAATTCCTCCACTGTCCCACTTCGGCAACAGGATATGGCTTCCCTTTTAAGACCTGTACAATGTAGAAAAGACATAGGCCTGTAATCAGCAAAGTATAGCAGGGCTCGAACCAGTTATTTCCCACAACCTGGACCAGTGGTGCAGCTGTCCCAATCCTGAAAAACAAAGAAGTTAGTATTATAAACATTCTTATGGTAAAACAGAAACTCACCTCAAAATTTGTCACCTTTTAATAGAAGGGAAATTCCTCAACATAAATAAGGGCATTTATACAAAGCCAACAGCCAACATCACCCTAAACAGAGAGTCTGAAAGCATTCCTCCTGAGAACAGGAACCAGACAAAGATGTCCTTTATCACGACTCTTATTCAACATTGTGCTGGAGGTCCTAGCCAGAGCAATTAAGCTAGAAAAAGAAATAAAGGGCATCCAAATTGGTAAGAAAGAAGTAAAAGTATCTCTATTTGCAGATGATAGGATCTTATACACAGAAAACTCCAAAGAATCCACAAGAACACTACTGGAACTAATAGAAGATTTCAGCAAAGTATCAAGATAAAAGATAAACATACAAAAATCAGATGGATTCCTCTATACCAACAAAGAGAACTTTGAAAAGGAAATCACCAAATCAATACCATTTACAATAGCCCCCAAGAAGATAAAATACTTAGGAATAAATCTAACCAGAGACGTAAAAGACCTATACAATGAAAACTACAAGACACTAATGCAAGAAACCAAAAGAGACTTGAATAAGTGGAAAAACATACCTTGCTCATGGATAGGAAGACTCAACATTGTGAAAATGTTAATTCTGCCCAAAGCAATCTACAGATACAGTGCAATCCAATTCAAATTCCCATGGTATTTTTTATTGAGATGGAGAAACAAATCATCAACTTCATATGGAAAGAGAAGAGGTCCCGAATAAGTAAAGCATTGCTCAAGAAGAACAAAGTGGGAGGCCTCACACTACCTGATTTCAGAACCTATTATACTGCCATGATAGTCAAAACAGCCTGGTACTGGTACAGCAACAGATACATAGACCAATGGAATAGAGTTGAGAATCCAGAGGTAAATTCATCCACCTATGAGCAGCTGATATTTGACAAAGGCCCAAAGTCCATTAATGGGGGAAAAGACAGTCTCTTTAACAAACGGTGCCGGCATAACTGGACGTCCATCTGCAAAAAACTGAAACAAGACCCACACCTCACACCATGCACAAAAACTGACTCAAAATGGATCAAAGACCTAAATATAAAATATAAAATGATAAAGATCATGGAAGAAAAAATAGGGACAACTCTAGGAGCCCTAATACATGGCATAAACAGAATACAGACCACAAGTAACAATGCACAAACACCCAGAAGAGAAATTAGATAACTGGGAGCTCCTAAAAATCAAACACTTATGCTCATCAAAAGAGTTCACCAAAAGAGTAAAAAGACAACCTACAGACTGGGAAAAAAATTTTGACTATGACGAATCCAACCAGCATCTAATCTCTGAAATCTACAAGATACTGCAAAACCTCAACAACAAAAAGACAAATAACCCAATTAAAAAATGGGCAAAGGATATGAACAGGCACTTCACCAAAGAAGACATTCAGGCAACTAACAGACACATGAGGAAATGCTCACAATCATTAGCTATTAGAGAAATGAAAATCAAAATTACAATGATATATCATCTCACCCCAACAAGCCTACCATTAATCCCAAAATACAAAATAATAAATGCTGGAGAGGTTGTGGAGAAACTGGAACACTTACAAACTGCTGGTGGGAATGTAAAATGGTACAACCACTTTGGAAATCGATTTGGTGCTTCCTTAAAAAGCTAGAAATAGAAGTACCATATGATCCAGCAATCCTACTCCTTGGAATATATCCTACAGAAATAAGAGCCATCACAGGAATAGATATATGCACACCCATGTTCATTGCAGCACTGTTCACAATAGCAAAAAGATGGGAACAATCTAGGTGCCCCTCAACGGACCAATGGATAAACAAATTATGGTATATCCACACAGTGGAATACTACACAATGATGAACAATGATGAATCCGTGAAACATCTTAAAACATGGAGGAATCACCAATGACCGCCCTGACAGGGAGCACAACAGAGTCCCTGATGGAGCAGGAGAAAAAGTGGGGTGCAGAGCTCAAATTCTAGTAAAAAGACCAGACTTAATGGTTTGACTGAGACTGGAGGGACCACGAAAGACGTGGCCCCCGGACTCTCTGTTAGCCCAAAACTAAAACCACTCCCGAGGCCAACTCTTCTGACAAAGATTAAACTGGACTATGGGAAATAAAATGATACTCATGAAGAGTGTGCTTCTTAGCTCAAGTAGATACATGAGACTAAATGGGCGGCTCCTGTCTGGAGGCGAGGTGAGAAGGCAGAGAGGGTCAGGAATTGGTTGAGTGAACACAGGGTGGAAAGGTGTGGGGAGAGCAAGTAGGGTCACACAACAATGTATATAAATTTTTGTATGAGAAACTAACTTGAATTGTAAACTTTCACTTAAAGCACAGTAAAAAGATTGCCTCCTTTTCTGGGAAATTCATTTAAAAAATCCCAAAGAACATCTAAGATGTAAATAAATTATTTCTCTGATGAATTTAGCATCTGTATGTGGACTTTTCAGTCACCGCCATCCAGCTACGGAACAAAACAGTCAGTCTGTCTCACTATAATCAGCACCTCTTTTGAAAATTAGCTAAACATTTGGATTATTTAAGCAGAAAAATCTAGGAGTAAAAGTAGTTGGTTGACAATTATATAGCTTATATCTATTTTGCCAACTAGGAATAAGGCAGCCAATCTTACCCTAGGACAAATATCAGCATTTTAATCAGATTTAAAACAGTAAGAAGGTAACCAAAAGCTGAGAGAAGAAATGAGCCTACACAAGCCACAACCTCATCTACCCTGAGACCAGGAGAACTAGATGGTGCCCGGCTACCACCGCTGACCCTTCTGACCGGGGTCACAATAGATGGGTGCTGATAGAATGGGAGAAAAGTGTGGAGTAGAACTCAAATCCTTATTTAAAAAAAAAG